ATTGGAAACTGTCGGATGTTAATACCAGCCTGGAATTTACGTAAAAATAAACTGCATTTGTATTCTTCTGTGACAGGTTTTTACATGATTTTCTGTTTAGCCATTGAGGAATAAAACTTGAGGAATAAATCCAGATTTTATCTATTTGCATATTAGTTAAACCTTTAAATTTGTTTTTAAAAAGTAGAAAGTCGCTGTCAGTCGTTTCAGTTTCTTAAAAATTAAAAGTTATTTGGAAGCTATGCTTATCACGGAGTGAATTTCTTCACTCTGGATACAAGTTTCGTGGTGTTACGATTGAGCGCTGATGATAGTCCTCAGCCCTTTCCTCTAAACTTTCAAGAAAAATGAAAATTACTGGCTTCTATTGATCATAGCTGTTAGCATTGGCGTTCAGTATTTGTGAAGGTTATCGTGTACCCTGTTTTCTCTTGGTTCTGATCAAGTATGATTGTTAAGTGTAAAAACAAGTTTTATTTTACCAGCTCTTACGTCCACCCGGTATATCATCTATTTTTTTTCGGGTCGTTTAATGGAATGACACTGTCAAGTTTGATGTATACATTTTGTTTGCTGTTGATTACACTGTTTATGCAAATTAACAATGTTTTTTTTTATAGATGACGCTAGAAAAAGGGGGGGAAAGCACTGTCGTCCGTTCTCAAGAAAATGGCAAAATTGTTACTATGGAACCGATAATACAAGTAATAAATAAGTTGAGAGAAGTGTTTTCTGCTGTCGGTACTCGAGATGCTGAAATTCAGCTACCTCAAATTGTTGTTGTTGGGGCCCAGGTAATTAAAACAATTTGTAGTTGTTTAAAGAGGACTTATTGTAGTTTTTTATCTCTATAAAATCTTCTGGAAAGCATTACTTGTTTTATTAAACGGTTTTAGCAGCTTATAATTTAATGACTTTATATTTTAATTATAGAGTTCGGGTAAAAGCTCTGTCCTGGAAGGCATTGTTGGCAGAGATTTTTTACCAAGGGGTACTGGGATCGTAACGAGGCGGCCTTTAATACTGCAACTAATAAATCTACCTTTAGAAGACAAAGAAGCTCGAGTGGATGATAATGGTATGTTGCATCTTCGTCAGGGGTCTCTAGTTGTGTTTTTACTGCCGGCCGATTTCTTACAGTATCACATGAAGAAAATCATTCTCTACAACTTTTCTAGGGCTTCTAATTCCTGCTGAAGAGTTTGCA